TTGCCGCGACGATGAAAAGAATCGATCGTGTGCAGAATTTTTGCGAGTTTTTTCCCGTCAATTATATTACACGATCACGATTACGCAGACTTACGCGCGATTATGCATCGCCTTTTACGTTTATCGAATAAATTGTTCAAACAAATAATATTTCATGTATATAATATCGCTTGTGTAAAAAAATTCTTACGAAAGACGCTTTAGCTATTTAGCGAAACGATTGCCTGCTATTTCTTTAGCATGAAGTTGCAATGTAAGTTGCGTCTGCAATTCTGCATTTAATGGTGCAATGTTCTCGTCTATATTCTACCCGCACACCTTTTCGTGTGAAAATTATTCAAGTCTCTCTCATATAAAAAGTGCGCCGCCAAAAACCGCATTTTCTTATAAAACAACTAAACATTAAACGAATGTTTTGCAATTTTTCATTATAAAATGAGGCATTCCTTGTTTATTTTCCATTATCAAGTAACAAGCTGATTATCTACACTGTCATAGAATTGTTTTTAGCTCAATATCGAGAAGATGCGCTAAGAAAGGGAAGGAGGGTTGGAAGAAGGAAATTAAAGAGAAAAATAGCAAAAGATATTGCTACATATGCACGATTGAAAAATAAACAAATTTCGAGATTCATATATAAAATTTATAAAAATAATTATCTATGTTTTGATCCATAATCAGTAGAAAAGTTATGATGCTGAGCTCATAAATACACCAATCGATATAATTTGAATGTAATGTATATAATTACGAAAGAAGAGGAGATGATGTAAAATGAATAATTAGAGTATTCGCTTTCAGTGAAGCAGGTGCGTTAGATGTTCGTTCATTGTTCGTTCACTCAATGTCTACTATCTACTTTTATGTATACGCGTTTAGCAGTTGTAAAAAATCGCAACGCACTTTTGATCACTTTAACAATCGCGTGATTTAAAAATTTCTAGACCGATACCGCGTCCATGTCAAGCGTTTCACTTGACATTTAATCCTTTGTACGCCGGATGCAACATTCATCTATCGCGGTGCATTATTCGCGTCAAGCACCCTTTGTACATACAACGTATTATTTGCAGATGATGTTCTAGTGCGATGTACTAGAATGTTGTCAGTCGTAGAGATACCTGCATTACATTTCGCAGATAATTCCAATTGTCAAATGTCAGCTGCGCGATGGAAAATTGCTATGTATGTACATGATTTTTTTATGAATAACAGATTAGAATATATAGTTGTGTGAAAGAAAAAATTCTACATTCTAATTTAATATAAACTCAATACTTTCGGAAACGCCTTTGAAAATAAGTTGTTAAAAATTAAGTATATAAATTATATAATATAATTTAATGATTAAATATTTATTTAATATTATAGAGATTTAAAAGAATTGACAGATATGCAGAAACGTTGATATTACGGAACATATTATTTAACGAATAAATACTTTAAAACATTCACGCGACTTTTAATGCATTTCTCGCAACGAAACAATTCTGCATTGGGTGAATAAACAGCGATTGCAAACGAGATTTTTGTATCACCTCTTGACGACCTTGTGAGCGAGATTGTCAAGGTAATGAGTGAAAGATTTCGAGATCAAGCGCCGTGTGGACGATCGAAAGAGAGAGAGAGAGAGGAAGAACGGGATCTTGAAATTGATCACACTGACGTCAATTATCGCGTATGCGTCCTTCTGCATCCGGTACGGTCGAGGACGTTCAAATATCTGCCTCTTTCTTTCGAGCCGACGTTTCCCAGCGACCTTCGCGACCGAATAACTTCGGCCAATCGATACTTTCAATGTCGTCAGGAAGACAGTGCGTCAAAGCGCATAATTATGCAGGCGCGCGTTGCTTCCGTCATGCGATTTTATACTTGTTGTTATAAAAGCGATGCACTTGCACTCGACATGTTTGTAGATTCAAGTTTTGATAAACAAACTTTCTCGCGAGAAGAAATAAATTTCCCCCTACGGAGGAGTGTAAAAAAACACAGAGCTGTCTCATTCTTCAACTTTTCATATAAAAGTCTCGTATAGACGCGTTCGCTCATGTCGCTGTACATATATCCGCGCAAAACTCGTCGTCATTATATTACCTATCTACTGGGTATCGTGAATTAACAGGGTAATTAATTTTCTCGTATCCTGTTCATTCCGGTTGCGCGCGCGTGCTTAATTATACTCGCATTCTTTGAAAATCAATCTCGCGGCATTTGCGATCTCTCCTTCCCAGCGAGAGATTGAGAGTTCTCTTTCCCCATTTCCCATTTCTATGTTACCTAATTTTAATCGCCGTTACGATACCATACGCTCGCATATATGTATGCTATCGTATTGGACGAATCCTTTATTGCTCGCCGTCAGACACGTGTATATCGCGCTCGACAGTAATTACATAAGCCGATTTCGTTGTGTTGTACGTATGGGAAGCAGAGGAGCATTCAAAACACATTGGTAGACATGGCTGGGCACCCACGCGTGTAGCCTAACATTTAAATGTGCGTAATCCACGTTCGTGTCGAGCGCAAATCAGATTTCTCGAAAGAGCGAAACCGTCGACCAGAACGATAATTGCATTCTTACGGAGAAAAAATGCCGAAATCTACATATCCATTTGTCTCTTTGGCTGCAAAGTTAAAAGAAAAATTTACATTTGATAGTATCGTTTAAAACCTCTAAATGGCTCTTATTAAAAATTGAGCTTTGAAAAATTAATTTTTAAAATCGACGTCCTTTCCAAAACTTACAAAAATATAATAAAAAAATATATATAGTCTGACATAAGGTGTTACAGTGAAAATATACAAGTAAATCTTGTTATTTGGAGACACTTTTTCTTCAACAAAAATATTGAGGCATCAATAATTTTCGAGTTCGCAAACTAAGCCTTGTGGAAATAAAATATTAATAAAATCACATTCTCCAATTAATTTCAAGTAGAGTTTACTTTAATAAAATTTTAATTCAAGGTTTAGTTATAAAGATACATGATGGCAAAAATTGGGAACATGCAAGAAATAATGACTTCCCTTGATATTTTTGCTAAGGCAAATATATATATATAGAAATATAATAAAAACATATATATAAAAAAATATATATATAGAAAAAATAAAAACAGATTATAAATTTACGTGTAAATTAGCTTACGTCAACTCTATTAAAATGCAGCATTTGAGAATCATTGAGAAATAGAATGGCATATCCATTTAGGAGATCCACGTGTTGGTTTTGGTGTCTTATTCTTCTATTTATATTGCACAATGAAAATCTATTGTTCCCATTCACGTCTAATCGAGATATCGAAAAACGCGGATACGCGTGCCCATCTTCCAGCGATTGCCTCACCTCTGCTTTCGTAATTTCATCTTTCAATCTTCAGTTTTGTTGTATTCATTTTCATTGGATCGATATAAGGTCGGCTACAACTAACAACTCTCCCGCGAGAACGTCAATATATCCCTCAATCCCTCGAAAATAATTGCACGCTCTCATTAAATCGCAATTACTTCGGCTTCCAGAAGCGCTTATTAATCAACCGGCTCTATATAATCAGAGGGGAAAACTTTGCCGAGAAAGAGAGAAGAGACTTCCTCTCTTGCGAGAGATCTCGATTGCGAAGTCCGAGGAATGCGAGAGATGAGCGCAGTTTTTCTCGTGCGTGTCTCCGAAGTTGCGTGTACATATATACATACTTATATGTACGGTTCGGCAAATTAAATGCCTCGGCATTGTTGCGGTTTTTCCACGCGCGACAAACGCTTACGCATTTTCTACCTTACCCGATCTTGCAGATTTTCGTAAGAGATCTTTGTAAAAGCGCTTCTCTCTCTCTCTCGTAAGTGGTGCGTTTGCGTAAACATTATTCGAATGCGGTGCAGATCGGATAAAACGTGCGCGAGTGTGCGTGCGAGAGCGCAAGGTCGACCAAAAATCCGGTTACTTTTCCATTGCACAATTCACTGCACTTATCGCATTCGCGTTTCAACGCGCGAATGAGCGACTTGAGCTATACGCGATGATATATGACAAGCAATCATGTGTATACGTACGCGCGTCGGAGGCTGAAAATCTTTACGACAATTCAGACCGTAAGCTTGAGGAATAAATAGATTGCAGTCATCATTTACCACCGTTTTTGATAGACTTTGTACTTATAATTAATAAATTTGTATCTACACACCGAGTTCTTAGATAAAATGATTGGTTCGTACGTGTGACGCAGAGTTATTAATCTCTTAAATAAAGCTGCAATTACGGCTCAATTTAATATCGCTTATTTTTCAAAGAGTATATTTGCTTGTGATTATTAGTGTCTTATAAATTTCAGTTTCACGTCAAAATGTTGTTGATCTACAGAAAAAAGGAATTTAATTTATGCAATTTGAGAAATGGAAAAATATAATTATGTCGTCATATAAAAGAAAAGAATAATAATTTCACAAGATAATTATGAAAATTTTATTAAAAATCTTTTATATTTCAAATTTTATGTCAAATTGTAAGAGCTATTATGCAAAATAATCTGATAAGCAACAACGAGATAATCCTTGTCAGTATTACAATCGTTGTCGATTTTATATCTGTACGGAGCCTATTAATCCGTTCTGTTCCTACGATTTTCTTTGTTCTATCATTTCGTAACGTGGGCTGCATAAAAATATATATCGCAATATAGAGATCTAGGACCGGATAGTTCATGCAGGAAATCATATGAGCCCCGATAGGATCAAACGCATGTCCGATTCGTAGTACATATGTATTTGTGTAATCGAATAGAAAGCCACGAGAGACTTAAGACACAAATTTTGATCCGACGATTTTGATAATTTAATTATATTTAAGAAAAAAGAGTGAGATTTTATACTAGTCTGTTATATAATAATACTAACTTTGTTACATAATAATTCTGACTAGTGACATTAAATTGATCTGTAAGGATTAAATAATTTAGAGATGTTCAAATTTTAGACTCAAATATTCTTTACTTTGTGCGTTTCAGGCTGTCAACGAAATACTCCGAGAAGTGCAAGAGCTAGCAGAAATGAGGCAGCTTTGGAATTCGAGTGCCCTGAAGAATTTGGATACTATCCTCATCCGCGCGATTGCACACAATATTATGTATGTGTTTTCGGTGGCGCCTTGCTGGAGTCTTGCACGGGAGGTCTTATGTACAGGTACGGGATAAAAAAATTAAGATTCTTAAATATAAAATGACATCACTTTACATTTAAATTAGAAAGTATTTTTTACAAGTCATATTTTTAACACATGAAGAGATTGAATTTATCTCCCGCTGTTATTATACTCTTGACATTAAAAGTAATGGAAAATTACAATTTAAAAAAAAAAATTTTTATAAAAATGTTTTATAAAAAACTATATTAAAAATCTTATCTAAGCACCAATACGATTTATATATTTGAATGTACATTTTTTACATTTTATTACCTACTATAGAATTAAATCGTAAAATCGTTTTTATATCAGAGAATAGCTTTATCATTGTCAAAACATAATTCGTAATTTGATTTATAAAAACCCGGCGCATACGTAACGATTTCAACGATCAAGCTCGTGCAGGTTCTCAGATTACATACAAGATAATAGAAGATGAAAGGAATTCTTCTGCTCGTTACGGAGTTTCTGCCAAGCAGAGGCATATAATTGCGCGAGGTTGACGACCGCGTTTCGACGACTATCGCGCTGAAGCGGCGGATCTCCATTCTCGGGAGAGAAAAAAAACGTGGAAACGAATCCGCTCTCGTGAACCGATCGGCTAATATGGCCACGAATTAGCGAGCCCTGGTGAAATGAAGCTTAAATCGGTCGAATCGAGAGTATCCACGCACTGTTGAGCAGCAATAGACACAGACAGCCGGATGCGCCGACCCGTCCTGCGCTCCCAGAGCTGCATTACGTTGATTCGTGAGAGATTTCCGCGACGCGCGAACGAAATCGCGCTTTCCCGCGAACTCGCGACTCGAAAACAAATTTTCCGCGAGATATTTCTTTTCAAATTTTCTTTCAAAAATAATCTTGTAAGATCATTTGGAGACATCTCTTTCTACGTGGGAGATTTGACGCTCTTATAATTTAGCGACATTGTGAAAGCGGGATCTCTCAAAATCGATTATCGTGTGGAGTTTTTTTTTATTATAATGATGTGAAATAGGCAAAATTGAATGTAATGTTGCAGAGAATGTAAAAAGTAAAGATTGTGTGACAAATTTCGTGTATGCAGAAGAATTGAATTTTTAAAGAATACTCTTTTATTTCAGCTTTATATACAGAACGTCCAAATTTCTCTTATGAATATTCAGATCTCTCTTATGTAATAAAAGCAATTTATCTTTATGAGTATCAAGCAATTTATTTTTTATTTATATTTTATGATCTCTTGCGGTTCTTTTATATTTATATATGATATAAAGAATTTTAAAAATATTTACTCCAATTTTTGAAACACTAACGAATACTTCAAATATTAACCAATTAATCTAAAATAATTATTTTTATGTTAACATATAATGTTAAAAGAGATGTTGCTAAATTATCTTATTCTGCCAAGAGCCTGAGTACAAGTACATGATAGATCAATCGACGCGCTTAAAAGCAACAACTCCTCGCGGACACTTAAGATCCGTCTTGATTGAACGGCGTGCTGATACGATCCTGGATTACTTTCAATCTGCCGTCTGGATTTGCACGGTAAAAGGGGATCATGTGTATATATGTGTGCACGCATATAACTCCGGTGAAAAAAAAATCGATCAGCCAAACCAGCCACACCTCGTCCCGATACGTGCGAGTGACAAGCCGCTGGTTAGGTCGATATAACCCAAGGTGCTTAATGGTAACGCGATACCCAAGTACGGCTAAGATCGCGACAGCGGTTTTACAGGAGCGACGCCGAATACGGCTCTCGATGATAAACGTGTTCGTGTCCGGAATTCGCGGGAAACGATTCTGGCGTCTACGATGTCGAGTCTTGCTTAAATCCGTCTGACCGCTCGGACATTTTATCACTTAATTAAACGAACGTCGTCCAAAGAAGAGCTTATGGCAAGAGATCGACGATTGAAAGGATTCCTGGTTCCTTTCAAAAATGTATTGCGCGATACAATCAATATACATCTTGAATGTCTCCTAAGAATATCTCTCTCGTTATCTTCCGATTATAAACCGGAAGTGTTTAACACGCTCATCGTGCATTTATTCACGGTGAGTTTTTAATCGACGTGACAGGTAAATGGAAAAAATGCCGGCGTAATAAGGTAATTCGCATAATCAAGGAAAAGGTGTCAAGTTGTATAAAGAATTGTGACGCCGCAAAGCATTAGCGAAATTGGAAATGACACATCGCGCAAATGTAATTTTAATGACACGACAAGCGCGAGAAGTCGCGTGAAATCGCTGGTAAGGCGTGCTCACAAGTGTAATCAATATTAAAAAATAAAGAAGAAATAAAAATAAAAAATCCTCTTCTTCCAGTCACGACCTGCAAACGTGCGATTGGCCGCGAAATGTAGGCTGCCCGGAAGGAGACTCGTCCAACAAGGAGGTCGAGGAAGATCCCCTATTGGAAAGGTGAGTTTTGCCCGATCGCACTTCTCGATATTTTAGGTCGGAATACCTTAGAAAGTACTTCTAACAACTGTAAACCGCAATTTTCAAACTGCACATCAACGATTTAATTCTGTATCACGATCATCGAATCTTGAAGCTGCATTAATATGCGTTTGCATTTTTTTATTTTAAGGGGGTCTTTTATTGTAAGCGTTATTTTTTATGTTCTTTTGAAATTTTTATGCAGAACCAATAAACATTTTTTGCATTGGAATTCTTTCTACATATTTATTAGTATCTATATAGTTGTGTTTAAAAATTTCTTTGGTGCAAAAAATGAAAATTAATTGCAGTGGACCGCTTTGAAGATATCGATGAAAAGAATGATTGAGTCGGTTCTGCTCATTTGAAACAAAAAATTCAAAAAATAAATTTAAAAATTAGATTTCGATCAAAATATTTTGACATAATTGTAGTAGGTGCGATAGCTAAAAATAACTTAAATACCAATAAATATGTCGAAAAAATTCCGATACAAAAAACTTTTATGAGTTCTGTAGAAAAAAAAGTTGGAAAAAACATAACGCTCGTTCCTCTTAAGTATCTTGGCAATACTTACGCTATTATATGATCTCATAAGAAATATGGGACCATTGTATATTTGCGTACAAGAGCGCATAGTAGTTCTGTCACGAGATTTCATTTTCGCGATTGCAGAACAGTCGTAGCCACGTGTACGCCCACCCACGCTCGCGGCAACCGATGCGAGAAAAAGGCGAGAGTGAGAGTGAAAAGAAAGAGAAAAATAGCGCGAGCGCGCGGTCGATTAAGGCGACTGGATTGCGACTTAGCGAGGATTGAGACTCGCAGAAAAAAAGTTCGTCGTTGGTTTCGACAGAGCCGCGTTTTCTCGTTGCTCCGAATAAGCATCTCGACTTTACAGTTAGGGACAAAAAATATCGACAGCGTTTACGCGTCAGTGAGACATACGTTCGAACGCGACGAGGCTGTTCGCTGCACTGCTTCGTTCCGCCTGCGGATTCTCGCGGGACTTGCTTTCCCCATTTCGATTATCATTAATCTCCAACGCAGATTACCTCAACTTGAAATATAATTGCTACCTGAACGGAAAAAAAATCTCGCGAGAAGCTGTCTGTTATTTCAGAAAATAGCACGATAAAAAAAGCGATATATGCTACTATGCAATTTTCTCGCGCGCACAATAATGCGTTATTATTGATCATCGATATATTAAAGTGACGTATATGAATATTAGAGAAAGCGCACGTATAACATATGTATATTCGTAACACATCGTCGACATATTCTTATTGTTCTTGCGCAAACGTTGTAGAGAAGCTAACATGCAGAGAGACCAAGTAGAGTGTGCACACAATTGCACATGTTAGGATTAATTCCTTTTCCTCCGTTACGTGTGTAAATAAAAGTATGGTCAATTTGTATGAGAATGAGTCTCTTTGTGCAACATAGCGGCGCGGCCTCGGGTCTCGTTATATAAATCCAAAGTTGGGCAATTTCGCGCTGGGTATTCATTAATCTATTGTACACGCGGGAGTAAATCGGGAAAGAATTTCTCAACTCGCGTCTGCGCTCTCGGCTTCATCTCGAATTCCGGGTGTCCTTGCCATTTCGAAAGAAAAACTTCAGCAGGAGACAATTTCTGCGTATATCATGCATATAATCGCCGATGTATGACATCTTTCTCCTTGCGAGAATTTATTTTTTTTTCAACGGTAAGGACGTTTCACCGTTATATAGTTTCGAAACGACGCAGAAATGAAAGCAGATACATACTTGTATATTCCGCGATCATTCCTTCCCCTCAAGTTGGGAATATTTATTATTTTCTGTCTTTCTTCTATGCGGTGTGTTTCTATGCGGCTCTTGTACAAAGATGTATGAATCTCGTTTATCATTTACAATAAAAACGCGACTGTTCGCCATGTTGAATTGAACATTTGTTCAAGTTCAAGAAAGTCGGCAATCGTCATTAAATATTGTTTGATAAAAATATAATTTTAAAATATAATATTAAAAGAGGGATTTAATTTAGCTCTTTGAAAGACATATTTCTTCTCGATTGATTATTCTAAAAATCGAATCGTCGCGGTAGATCCGCGAAACTCGAGACTTTGCAGAACCAACAGCAGCAACAGCAACGACAGCAACAACAAATACGCGACCAGCAACAGCAGCAGCAGCAACAACGACCGATCCAGAGGCAGCCGATCGCGGTTACGGTTACGAGCACGTCGTCGTCGCCGATCACCGTCTCGCAGATTACCGAGAGGCAGCTGAGACAGCGGCAGCAATCCAGGACGAATTATCAAGAGGACGAGTACGGTCCCGCGTCGGAGGTCGAGAACGATCGACAGCAACGAGTGTACCGGGGACAACCTTCGACGATCGGTCAAGTGCAACGCGACCGCGATGGCCTTCGCCGGAATATTATCGCGGTGAGCCAGAGTATTCCCTCATTTGCTCAAGTATTCGCTAAACTTTTTTTAAAAATAATGAGTAGAATCCATGTCCTCTCTTATCTTTAAATAAGTGCAGTATTACGCCGATAACGGTCAATTGAAGATTTTTTCAACGCGATTAATGCAGTTAAAATTTTTTGATCTATAATAAATTAAGATAATGTTATTAAAAATGAGTATTTTTTCAGATATTTTATATTGTATATTAGAGAAGGAGAGAAAAAAGACTGAAGTCATTAGAATGATATATTAAGAAATTTATCCTATATATACATGTACTTTTTAAAGTTGCATGATATAATTATAAATGATTAAATAGCCAACTTCATTAATCGCGTTTCTTAATACTGTGCGATGCGTGATAGGATCGCATAAATAGTTTTACGAGCAACTTCGAGAATTCCTTAGCAAGAACGCGCCAGTAGAAAGTCGCATTGAATAGGAAATAATAATAAACGCGTCCGTTTAATGTTGAAATGAATTTAATTAATTAGCAATGAATACGGCAATTCAATGCATCAAGGTGGTCATTGAAATTGAGATGTCGCATGCGTGTTTCAGGAGAGGGAAAAGGATAGTCTGGTGAGCTCACGTGGCCAAGCCGAAACTCATTACAGGTTGGTAACAAAGTTACTTTTGTAAAGATGATGTTTGTCACGATGAGGCACGATTTTTAATTTGACCGTGATTTCTCCTCGAAACTTTCATACATTTTACGCTAGCGCGACAATCATATCACTTTGCCTATCTTGATAAAAATTTTGCACAATGCGACACAATACGCTAAGACACTTTTATCACGTGAAAAATTATTGTGCTCTTTTATATTCCTGCGTTTCAGAACCCCCGTTCCAACTTCCGAATCGCCAAGACTTGCCAAAACTCTGGCCTCGACTGTCGCGCCGGTCCTATCCAAGGCTTATTATAACGATCCAGATCAAAGTTATCCGTATTATACAATCTACGATGACGACGTTTCTATTTACAAGGACGACGGTAGGCTATAAAATTTATTCAAGAAATCTGCGTATATTTTTTTTCTCAGTTATTTTTCAAACATATTTAATTTTTAAATTGAATATATAAAATATGATAAAGTATACAATGTTAATATATCGAAAGGTAATAATAAGTCGGGTTTATTTCAAGTCTGCATTTTTAAGACGACTCAATAATTTTATATCACTCATATATTACTTTTTATAGATTACAATCAATATACCATCAATCAATCGGTGCCGGTGCAGCAGCCAAACGTAAAAATTAGCGAAGTGAGCACGAAGCCGCAATATCAGAAGCCGAAGAAGGTCGGCGTGAACGAGGCGGATAAATATAATCTCAATCATGATGTGCAAGATTATGACATCTACGAAAATCAGGTGAGAAGATATATTTTACTTAACAAAAATTTATAAGAAATTATCAAAGTTATTTGGTTCCTGTTATAGTCCTTATTTTGTTCCCGGCTAGAAATATAATTAAAAAGGATTTCCATTTTTATGTTACAGGCTCAGCTCAATAAAAACAAATTCCGCATATCCGATGGTCAACAATTTAGGTAAGGAAATTGTTTCGATTAATCGATTGCTTTTCGCGATTACTCGAGTTCGATTAAAATGATGAGTAGATATACTGAATGATATATCGCGTATTTATAATAATAATTTTTGATAATGATTTTATTGTGAAATAAATACAATTGTTTTTAAGAATATGATAAGCTTTATTATTAGAAAATTAGCGCATTGCTTAATAATCTCAAGCCTGAATTAATTCAGATCCTGTACAATTTGAATATCATAACTTTTTTTACATATATTAATTTTAATGATTACTCGACCAATGTAATTTTAATTTTTTCTCGAACTCGCAGTTATTTAAAATTTTTTTTCTCATGCTGCATTATATCGCGTTGTTACTAACGGATGTATTTTTCTCGTCGTGATTTATCATCTAAACATGCTGATGTTCGAGCCAATCATCATTAAAAATAGTCGTAAGCGTGAATGTGTTTAATTCAAGACTTGTCTCGCTAGTTTTTATCTGCGTGAATCCATGTATAAGGACAAAAATGCGTGATGATTGAAAAGAGAAATCCGCGCAATTTGACGCGATTTCGTTAATTTGTTTACGATTACAGGACGAATGTGCTCAGCCATCCCGTGGTCCACGTGACAACACCAAACGTCATCGTTGATACCTTCATTCCGCTGACTACGAGCACGCAGACTCCCAGCACTACCAGTAGACCTTATACCATCAACGCGCCGAGGTACAATTTTAATGATCTCGTTACGTTATTAATTAATTCTCACGCGGCAAAAAGAAATAATTAACGGTATAAAAAATTAAAGAATTAAAAAGCGTTAAGTTTCGCATATTCGCACGGAAGGCCTCTTCGACCGGCTTATTTAAATTAAAATACGGATGGTCTCTTCATTATAATATAAAGTAGATTAAAGTATAAAGTAAATTATAATATAAAGTAGAAATCAAGTTGATGAAACCATATTTTTACTCGAATCACTTTTCATTTCTACATCGCGAAGCAGCTCTTATGAGTGATTTATTTCTTTGCGACCTGCTTATATACATTAAAATACCGATGTTCTCTTTATTATAATATAAAGTAGAAATCGAGTTGATGAAACCGTATTTTTATCGGAATCACTTTTCATTTCTACATCGCGAAGCAGCTCTTATCAGCGATTTATTTCGAATTCCTTCTCGCGCGAAAGGAAAATTGTTCTATTTCGTCATTACATGCCGAGGATTCGTGCGCATGGCGCGAAGCGCGAAAAGAACGGCCCTGTGCCGATTTCCGCCGGCCGAGACCCGATTTCGCCGGCAAAACGACGACGTCCCGCGCTCGCTTACGCGCTTTCTCCGCCGCGTACAGTTTAAACGCGCAATTTTCCTCATCCACGCGCGCAGCCGGAAATCCTTCGGATCTTATCTTACGCTCCAATTTTGCTCCTCTTCTTTTTCAGCCGAGGTCGACCGCAGCAGATCCATCGGGGCACCGCACCGCCGTAAGTTCATTGTCGAATCACTTTCTTCAACGATCCAGCTGAGATATCACTATAGTACAGATTCGTGAATAAATTTCACGATGAATAAATTTCGCGATATCGCTACTCGCTTTCAAGGATTTTTTCGAAAACGCGACATATTTTATTAAAATTCCTTGACATCGATTGAGGTGTTTTTGTATTTAGTGGACATACAAATTTATTAATATAACTTATTGGATAATTAATTAAAAATAATAATAAATAACACCTAAAGAATAATAATGAATAATACCTATTTAGAGATGATTAATTATTATACATTGTTTGATAATAGTTGTGTAAAACATTTGACGTTTTCAGACGATCTCGACCTACCTTGAAGCCGTCCACCGAGATAGTTTCGAAGGCGCAGGAGTTCGTTGACATCTACAGGTATCCCCCGGCGAGGCCGCTGACGCTTTATCCGACGCCTCAAGTGGACAAACCAGCGGCGAAGTGTCGCAAGGATGTCTGCTTACTTCCGGATTGCAACTGCGGAGGCGCCGATATTCCAGGTAATTAAGCGACATAATGACAGTCCGGATTTATAGAGAAAACGGCTTATTCGACTTTTGGTCGAAATCGTCGCTCGATTTTGACCTGAATTTACAACTCTTTCTACTTTCGATTCCAGAAGACATAGATTCAATTTCAAGTCGCGATTAAAGTAAACCAAAGAGATTACGAAATACTCATATGAGAGATGCCTCTACAACGATGACTCTTTCACAAGAAAAAAAAGAAAAAAAATTAGATTTAAATCTCTTTGATGCAAACTTGTTTTCTAAACACTATCAATTCGATTCCTCTGGCTGATTAAGTAGACCGGAAATGATGTTGGGCGAGCTAGAAAACGTAAGACGGAAAAGATATTGCATTCCGCGTGCCGGAAGTTGGAACGTTCGCCAACTTTAATGTAAATAAGGAAGTAGGACGATATACATATATATACATACGTCGTCCTGTGTGGCGAATCTCGCGTCCTCGATCGATCAGCGACGACGAATCAATTATCCGGCGTGAGAAACACGCCTACGTTCGGCGAAAAAAAAATCGCGGGTGACGCAAGCGGATCGCGCGCCGCGAATGTTTATTAAGTTTGACGTACGGCTTTAGACGTAGCCGGGGTCTCTTGCCGTGACTTTCTCCGATTCTCTAACGTTACATACACGTCGACCGTTACATGGCACGCTCGAAAGTGAAACAGATCTACCGTCCGATACGATACGCGCCGGCTCGTAGCGTGCGTCGCCCTTCGAAATTGAAAGCAATTTGCATTCGCGGAAGGCATTCGTCGGACGCTTAAACCGGCGCAACACCCGATTATATTCGGTTTTACGCGCAAAATAAGGCCGGTAAAATTTCGATCTCGTTACCGCGGATCGTTGAACATCGTTTTACTTTCGCCGAAAGAGATAACTCCTTGTTGAGAAAATCATTTTCGTACCGATTCGCGAATAAATGAAGCGTGCCCATCTCGCAATCTTCTCGATCTGTTGAAATTTTTATTTGCGGTCTCTTGACAATTTTTATGCTCAGAAGATCGTCATTTTTTTATTTATGTTTCTGATATTTTTTCAAGATTCTGGATTCTTTAAGAGAAAATGCATTTTTTACGAATCGAGAATGACAGAAGTAAAATAATCCCTGAAGAAAGATTATTGGTTAAACATTTTAATTTTTATATCATACACATTTTTTTCAAAAAATTTTAAACAGCAATTAGAATTCCAATTTTTAAAGTCGATTTTATGTGCACAAACAGTATAATCAAAACATATCGCAATATTCTGACATTGTCGAATGATCTACTATATCTCCATTAAAAAATGATTTGAATTCAATACTACAATGAAATCCCGTAGAGAAATCGGTGCTTTCGTGTGTTCCTGTTTTCGAAAAAGTGCTCGATTATATTATATTAAATATTATAGAGATAAGAATGTATATATTTTCTTGATTTCACCGAGCCATGACGTATCAGTTTCGCTGATCCCCATTCAGCGATGTATCTACTCTAGAAACGCGCTCGTGGCGGCCGATTCTATTCACTCGCTACACGATAAAACTGTGTGACGTACAGGTGGTATTCCGGTCGTGCAGACGCCGCAGATCGTTCTGCTTACTTTCGATGACGCCGTAAACGACCTTAACAAACCCCTGTACAGCGATCTGTTCGAAAACGGTCGTAAAAATCCCAATGGCTGCCCGATCTCGGCAACCTTTTACGTCTCGCATGAATGGACAGACTATAGCCAGGTGCAAAATCTCTATGCAGACGGTCACGAAATGGCGTCACACACTGTCTCGTAAGTTTGTACCAAGACCGGATATGCAAGCGCAGATTTTTATTAACATCAGGAGTCGCATACATCATCGGCATTGCTGTTTTAATCAAAAGTGAAGAGGCGAGACTCGAATGTCATCTCATCGTACGAGCTCTGTTATTGTGTCCGTTAACTCGATCGTCTTCCTATGAGGAAGAATGCTAAATCGAGGAAGGACTTGTCTGCGAAGGATCCTCTAATTCGATGCAATCAGAGACTAATATTTAAACGTCAAGTTCTTTGAATTTAATTTCTTAGAAAATTCTAACTCTTCAGATATTGTTGGATTTGAAGGATTTTTAATGATGAAATTTGGAGGTCTTTTAGGGTGTTCTTACATCTTCGTTTTTAGATTCTTGAATAATTATCGAGAAAATTGTTTATAAAAAAAAATGTTGTCTTCCTATGTGAAAAATAGCTCGTATCTTAAAAAGTTACCTGTGAAATCAGACAATTAGAGGATCCCTCGTGGAAATAATGACGAAAACGCAAATTACCGTATGCGCCCGGTGAAACCGCAATTGCGAATCTTCATCGAACGCGAGATCTCTCGGATCGGGGTCTAATAGTAACACGCCGTAAAACGCGGTTTCACCAGGTGCCATACGACACCTGCGTCGCATACTAATAATATATGACGCGAGTACTAACTCTTTTGTTGTTCTCTCTCTCTCTTTTTTCTCTCTTTTCACGTCTCGTCATACTCCTAATTCCCATCACGCGCTACTCTAACTGGTACATCTTCACACACACACACATATATATCATAAAAAATGCTCAAAAAAATCTATCACATCGATACGTTCGCAATATAAAAAAAATACATACAACATACATTTCAACATGATCTCGAACGCGTGTCCCCATTCTTCCGTGTCCTGAATTTCTTCTCTCTTTCTTTTTCTCCTCGTGTCCTGGTTCCTGAACGCGATCCTAAACCGAACAGGTGACTATCTGCCGGAGGAAATACCGCAAATCGTTCTCCTGACCTTCGACGATTCTGTAAACGACTTGAACAAGGGTCTCTACACCGACCTGTTCGAGAAGGGACGAAAGAATCCCAACGGTTGTCCCATCTCGGCCACCTTCTACGTGTCCCACGAGTGGACCGATTACAGCCAGGTTCAAAATCTTTATGCCGCGGGCCACGAGATTGCTTCTCACACGGTCTCGTAAGTAATTGAATCGTTATACGTGAATCTGCGAGGATCGTCTGCGTGCTAAGTAGCACGATTTTCAAAATTATGTTTTATTAAAAAAAATTTACAAGTAATTTTGCGATTATCAATATCGCTTAGCAATTTATATCAGATATTTTTGCAAGATATTCCACGAATCTGTTGCATTTGATATTTATTTACTATTGATTAATTACGTTTTTACAATTAATTTTTTTTAGTTAGAAGAATATTAACTTGTGTAATTTAATATCTTACCTGTCAATTAAATATCAAGAATTAACGATTCCATTAAAACACATGTTTCAATATATAGCAAATATTATAGACAAAAATATGCAAAGTTAGCAAGTTAATTACTAAGGTTTCCCAAATTTTCTTGTCCTTGTAATTAACGCACAATTCGCGAATTCGAAAAATCATCATCTTTCGACAATCACTCGTATCATATATTAACACCACGTAGATAGATGCAAATTAATTACGACCATTAAAGTCGTAAATAATTATTGCCTTTTTTTACGTGCTATTCTTTGGTGTCGAAATTAACGCTGGCTTGTTTCGCTGACGAAGTCATACTGCTTGTTGGATCGATTGATAAATCGCTTTCGCTCGTTCGCGCAACGTTTCTTAATTAGGATGACGACACGCACGTTCGAGGACTTTTATCTCATTTCATATGCAAAGTATCACACAGATTTTGCCACGTTAATTTAAATGACAATTCAGATAGATCTAGAGCAAATTTTTGCAACTAATAATTGTCATGTCTTTTCCATTTTACATTTTGCTCTACATTAAAATTTTAGGAACTGATATAAAAATGATAATAATAAAATTCAAATAAATTATATGGTTCTTACAAAATCATTTTCACCTGGTACATACAATTTAAATATCTTGTGCTCAGCTTTTGATATCGTCGTTTTGTAAAAGTAACGTTCAAGTGAGATGTCTGTGTGCTAACCGTGTTTATGTAATAAAAAGAAAGAAAGAAAGAAAAGTATTTTTACAACGTGCGTCGTCAGCTATTTTAGAATTCGTGCGCCGTAAAAGTTAATTCTTTCGATACAACGATAAATCTTCGCAACAGGCACAGTTTCGGCGAACAATTTTCGGCTCGAAAGTGGGCGCGAGAAGTTGCTGGACAGCGTGAAATTCTGGCTGCATACGGAGGCGTCAAGTTGGAGGATGTCAGAGGAATGAGGGCTCCCTTTTTATCGGTAATTTGAACTTTATTTATCACCATCATATAATACTGAAAAAATTTACATCACAAAAAATATACGTGACTATCGGAATCGAAATTTTTTTCTAAATTTCGATAGGTTTAATTTGTATATGTATAGAAATTAAACGCTTTTATTTTGAAATTGGTAGTAAACGAACAATTTAAAGATTTGAGAAAAAAGGTTTTGGTATAATTATAGATTAAATAGTTTTGAGAAAGTTTTGAGAAAGTTTTAAGAAAATTTTATTTGTTTAAAGTATGAAAGTAGATATTAGAAAATTGAGACTAGAAGAAAAAAATGTTGGCTTGGGTGAGATCTCTTTGACAAGATTACGAGAAATTTCTTCATCGTTGAAGAGAGCAAATTATTGCTATGTAACACCGTTTTGTGTCGCAGGTCGGAGGGAACAATATGTTTAAGATGCTGTGGGACACAAACTTCACGTACGATTCTTCCATGCCAATTTACGAGAATCGACCGCCCAGTTGGCCATACACGCTGGATTACAAACTCTTCCACGACTGCATGATACCGCCCTGTCCCACGAGATCCTATCCAGGATTGTGGGAAGTTCCTATGGTAATGTGGCAAGATCTCAATGGAGGTAGGTGCTCCATGGGAGATGCCTGTAGCAACCCGCCGACTCCGGACGGCGTATACAAGATGCTCATTAAGAATTTCGAGAGGCATTATACGACTAACAGGTTGGTAAAATATATTCTCTGCGAATATCATTATTCAGATAAATAATCGAAAAATTATATAATCGATTTCTCCGATTAATATCAATGTTCTTAATATTTTGCATTTAATTTTGTAAGTTTACGATTTGGATATCTGAAGCTCTTAAATTGAAGAATGTATTGCGTGACTTGGGAAAGATTTTTGAAAGTTTCCAATTTAGGTAATATTATATAATATTGATGCATATCAATTTACGCTGTTTAATGAAATTCAATTTCTTTTATTTTTAATTAAATTTGTTTTATTTCGTAAATTATTCATTTAAATAGGTATATTCGCATGTTATATTCGGGATAAAACAAATTTGATTTGCATTCCCACGAAATAGGGCGCCTTTTGGGCTGTTCTACCATGCTGCATGGTTCACTCAGCCGCATCATAAAGAAGGCTTTATATCGTTTCTCGATACCATTGTCGCGATGGACGATGTATGGGTAATTACCAATTGGCAGGCCTTACAATGGATCAGGAATCCAACGCCTCTGGCGCTTTTGCACACGTTCGAACCCTTTGGATGCCATTATCCGGTAAAACAATTCGCAGTTTACTGAGATCTATCTTTTCACGAATAACTTATTCATAATGCAACTGTTCTATTATATTTTTTTCAAATTGGATGCTTAATTTACACTTTGAGAGCTGCAATTTAAATGTACTAGAGGACTATAACGTTGCACAAAGTGGTTAAGAATTACTCAACAAAAGTTTCAAAATATTAAGATTTTGATTATTTAAAAATCTTTGTCTAACAACAAGTAACGTTCATCAAGAAGTATACTGTAAGCGCGATCTTGCAATTTAAGAACCCCATTGCATCGCGATAAATGTGTACGCAGGACCGACCCAAGAAGTGCAATAACGCGAAGGTCTGCAACCTTTGGCACAAGAGCGGCGTGAGATACATGAAGACGTGCCAAGCGTGCCCGGACATTTATCCCTGGACAGGCAAGACCGGTATACGTAGCAGTCGCATCGACAATGAGATCGACGCCCACGAATGAGCGGACGGAAGCTTCAAAACTTCGTTGTGATCGGGGAGAATCCCCGAATCAAACGAGGACTCGGATCAACACGAACGTCCAAAAGACGCGATCGAGAGATCTAAATGAGACCTTAATCCCTTTCACGGACATATCTTAGATATATAGATACATAAACAACATGCGACTTTTTTCGTGTGGATGTGTGTTTTAGATATATATTTTTTAAACATATTTCCTTTTAGAGACATTTTCACTTATTTGGAATATCTCTTTTGGACTTTCGCGTTGTTCGGGGACGCGGCAGCGCGCGCGAAAGGGGGGAGACACTCTTCTGTTCGGGCAAATAATTTCAAGTATTATACGCGCGTGTCCTAAGTGAACACAGATTCGGGCCGAGTACGCCGATGCAAGTTTTACGCTGAAAAGAAGTCTGCAAAATTTTCGCGTTTCCACGTTAGAGTGTATTAAAAATGAATTTATAGCTATGCGCTGGATCTCTAACGAACCGAGACCCCGTTATATTCATCAATGACAAGGTTTGTGAATGAAAATTTTGTTAGTAGCTATGATTTTCATTCGAAAAGAAACAAAAAATAGTTAACATCTAGTTATGTTATAGGAAATAATTTATGTAAATTATCATATGCCTAAATTTTGTTAATTTCTTCTAAGTGAATTCTGGCCGGTGCTATAAGTTAAAATACGAAATGAAGTTGAACTGAAGAGACAAGCGTATGTGTGTGGTAAATTAAATTAAGTTAATTAAAATCAAAATTATCATCGCGACGAAATCGTGCATGTAAGATCGCGCGAAGAATAGTTAAAGTATTTATACACTTTCTTTTCTTTGTCTTTTTAAAAATCAATGAGAAGAAGATCGATCGCGATCACGAGGCACCTTTCTTTCCGCTTTTCTCGTGTTCTCCCCTCACTTTTTTCTCCTTCCTTTTCCGTTTTTCTTTCTCTTTCTCTCTCAAATCCACAAACATCCTTGGCGTACTCGGCCAAATTCGGCCAAATAGAGCAATTAATTAAATCGCAATACGTAATAATTAATCATCGAGATATAAGCGTAAACGTCGGTCACCGAAGATATCCGTATTTAAGCGAATTCGTGACTGTTGGTCGCGATTGAGATTCATCATGCGCGGAGGTCACTTTGTGGAAAAAAAGGGAAAGACTAGGGGAATTTTCACCTTGACGAAGTATCGTGCGCACGAAGGGATCGTCGTGTTTATCTTCTAGAACATAAAATGTAATATGCCTTTAATAAATAAATATTTCGCTACAACATCTGCAACTATCTCCTTCTAGCTATAACATCTATAGAGATAATCATAAACTATGATAGATATTAATGTAATGTGATGAAAAAAAAAATAATGTGTCAAACAGTTACATTTTTTTAGTTACAAATGTAAATCAGGTGTCGGTAAAGGATAGAGAATAGTAGACCAAGTGTTGATGTTAAAATGCTGAATATACTGCCAAGATACAATGTCTGCCGATCCAACGTATTCCACCCAATATCGCGCCATATTATTGTAAATTTTCTCTTTCCATGTCTGCAAAAAAATTTAGTCTAATTGTCTGGAATATTTAATTATCGATTTTATCTGACAATTTTTCGGTATGAAATTAAAGATTTATTAATTTGATCTTAATGGAACCAATTAATCGTAAAACATATTTTTAACTAAATCTATTCACCCTTTTATTTTGCAAGATCCATGCTTCCATCAGTTTGTTTCCTTGTAAAACTGCAAATTTTTGTGCTCTGTGCAGATAAAATCGCGTGGTCGATTTGCGACCTCGAAGAACATTCAGATACGCCATCAGCAAATACAAACGCGGTTTTACGACTGTCGCGTGCTTGGAAACGTTCCCGAGGCATTTGATAATTTTGGAAATATCTTGAGTCAGATCCAACAACTCGTCTTGCTTCATATTGATGCAATGAAGCAGCATCAATAGATGACATTCAAGTCCCTACAAAAGAAAAATTAAAGCGATTAAAAAAAGGTAATCATTTATTTAATATATAATCTATCATTCATGACGAAAGGGACTTAAACAAATGTTCAATCTTGAAATTTATTTGATAGATTTGTGAAATTATGTTATTTAAAAAATTTTTCATGAATTTATCTGAAGAAGAGAATAATCGACACAGTATAATTTATTTATTCTATACAACATAATCGGACCCAACGAAAGCAACTCTCTCTTTCTATTCTTTCTATCAGATTAATACACTCCACACATCTATTATGCTGCGCGGTTCGCGCGAGACTGATTTTCGTGCGGGGTATCGCGAGCGCGGGACCGATGGTCACATGACCAGTGGTCACATGACCAATGATCATGTGACCTCGGTTTCGCGCTCGCAATACGTTGAACAAGAATCAGTTCCGCGCGAGCCGCGCAGCATGATGGATATAAGGAGTATAGACTTTCGCGTGAGTTTAATAAAAGCGTATATATATTTGACCACAAAAGATTCTTGTAGACAATTTTATTTCTTCGTTTATATTTTTTGTTAAAGATTTAAATATTGAATTTTTATGCGTTGCATAATTAATTAATATATTTTTATGCATTGATTGCAATAATAATTTTTGCATGTATGCATCGCAATTTTTGAGATTTTATTATCAAAGAATAATATTACTTCACTTTACGTGCGTAATTATATTCGATTAGATTAAATAAAATGAGATATATATATATATATATATATATATATATGCTACATAAATTTAGTATTTATAAGCAGATTTGTTAATACAGTAGAAAGTTACAAGTAAAAGTAATTGTGTCGACTTATAAATCAAACTCAGTTTTGTCATCAAGTTTAATTATGATAGCAAATAATATAACAACCTGATAGTAAAATACTAATACAAATTTGAGAAATACAATTTAATAACTTTTATTAAAAAATATAATAAAGGGTATAAATAATGCTACAGTATATTATATTAAACAGTTATATTTGAATTTTATATTTTATTATATATTTTATATTTTAATTTTAATTGTTTTTTTAGAAAAAGAACACATAAATTTTTAAAAATTTACGAGTATACCTTGATGCAAGTAAAAATTCGAGAAAAATCATCGCAACTAACATCCTTTATGAATTCTTCCGCGCTGGAGGTAAACGCGTTAGTAATCGCGTGTCCCCTGCATATACAATATCTTTCGATTAGCAACAATTCTATAATAATTAATCTATTCAATTATTTGCATCTTGAAATTAATTTTTTAAAATTTTTGAACGACACAAATTAATAATTTTAAACTCATCTTTGGTACCAAAGTACTTTTTATGAAGATATGAAAGAGGAAATGAGTCAAATATTTTTAACTTATAAATTTTGAAAACTTATAATATAATTTGAAATTCAGTTATTTTATTATCATTTTATTATCACATTTGAAGAAGGAAGGGAAATCGATAATGATAAAAGGATAATTAAATACTTACATTCTAAGCTGGTATAACCACTGGCAAGTCAATAAGCAGGACAAGCTTTGCGGATCGCGCCATACACAAAATTTCGATCTGTCTTGAGCTGCATAATCATTTTTTTCAACGCGTGTTAAAATAATGACAGTTTTAAATGAATAAAGTGTATATGTGTATAAGTGTAATCGTGGGACAATATGGTATTAGAAGAATTTTATAAGAGTTTCTCTAATTAATATTTTTTTTACCACAAATAAAAAATATTAATATCTACCACAATAAAATATAATATATTCGATTAATTTTACTATGCATATAATCTATGTGCATATTTTATTGTGATTAATAGTTTATATTATACTAGTTTTTATATTGTGATAAATATTAATTAGAGAAACTCTTATAAAATTTTTCCAATATTATACTATTGTCTCACAATTACCATAATTTTCAAAGTAAATTCTAAGAGAAAATTCTCTCTGTGTGGAAAATTATAAATAATGAAAAATTCTTTGTATAAATTTTAACGCAACTTTTTGACGGGGATGAATTGTTATATATTTCTTACCCACAGATTTTTCATAATAGTTCTGAAAAGTTTCGTACGAATCTAGTACTACTCCTGCGTCCAGTATAAATTCTAAGGAAAGAGCGTAATACCACGTTTTATTTGACAAGTCCACATCCTCCTCCGCTAAAAAGAATATCTCTCGTACCAAATCGACGGCTTCGTTGATACGTTTGGTCCACAGCTGATCGAATTATTGGGCAAAAAATTTATAATTAGAAAATTTATTTATAATTAGAAAATTTATATATAAATAAAATATTTGCGAGAAAATAATACCATTATCTGAGATAACGATGGCACAATAATGAACATCAATTTATTAAGATGCAATGCTCCAGAGATTTTTAAAACTTTTATGCCAATATCTATAGCTTCTTCCAATTCACCTCTTAGTGCTCTGTTTTCACATATATAATTAGATTAATTCAAGATAGAGATATTCTTTCTCGTATAAATTTTTAATACATTTGAATATACCTAATTTGATACATCATCAGATAAATCTTTGCCATCATTGTAATTTCTTCGACATTGTTCCAGCTAGTCTTTGTCTTTATTACGGCAAGCATAGGTCTCTCAATATATCGTATTAACTTAGTATTTTTTGTGCGAAGCAATACTCGAACTGTCACGAGATATACTTCACCTTTCTCTAGAAAACCGCCAATGGTTGAAAAAGCCAGTTTGAAACTTTTTAAGGCATAAACTTGTGCCGTGTTTAATTTATTCTCTATCTGTAAATATTTATACAAAAATTATAAAATTTTAGTTTCTTTTCTGAAAGTGTATTTTGAAGCGGGTTAACGATATCAAATAGGTCAAAAATTTCTTATAAATTTAGATACATTTAAAGATTATATTTATAAAAGTATCTGTTTCAACAAAACGATTATGTATATGTTAAAAAATTCGGAAAAATTGATTTTGCGTGACAAATACAGCGTTATTATTTATATACACACGGTCGCATTTTGTTGACATTCACGTGGTGAGACGCGAGCGGGCAGATATGTAACAAATACAATTATTTGCGATTGATTGATTATTTGCGTTTATTAATTATGTTATTAATTCCCGTGATAAAAGAAAATAGCGGTGACAGCTATGTATTATCAAAATCAATTAATCGCGCAATAAACTTTTGTCTGTTTAAGTACAATATATCCATTTTTTGTGAGATTAGAAGCATAAAATAATACAAATAAATTGTAAAATAACAGGAGAGAAGGCGAATACATATATTAATTCACTGATAATTTATCTTTGATTTATCGCGCGAATATTCAGTAAAAGTTTTGGCGAAATATTTTCGAATACTACATTCTGCGAAACTTTAAGTTTAATATGTATATTTATTCATGTTTATATCTTTTAGTAAGAAAAAAATAATTAATATAGCATTGTTTTACCACGCAGCAATTGTCGATGTGTCAACATCGATCGGGAGTGTCGTGCAAAAATTGTCACGCGTTTTGCTAATTAGTGCGTGAGCGATAATTAATCGCAAGTGCCATAAAAGAGCAGTGAAGAATGAACATGGAAGAGGAAGAAATAAAGAAGAAAGAAAAGAGGAGATTCAGGAAGGACTCAAACGATGGCGGAGCAACAAAGCGGTGATGTATTATTTATTCGATTTATTATTCTCTCTTACTTATTACTTGAAACAGAATTCGTAGGTAGAAGAAGAATTAATATGGCTTATAAGACATGTATCGACGTAAGTAATTTGTCGTTTTTTTTCCAAGTTCTTTATTTTGAATAAAATTATTAATTTTTGATTTTAAAAAAGAAAATTGAAAAACATTTTCTTTGGTTAAAAAATCAATGTTATATGTGGCTGTATTAATTAGTAAAAAGTAAATATTTAATTTTTAGTTAATTTAATAAATCACTACGTACCATATACGCGACGCAAAGACGACGCAAATACGATGCCAGTTCCAGTTTCTTTACGATATCTTGCCTCGATACTGTATTAATCGTATAGCGAGGAAAATGCTGAAACTTACAATATATGTTCGACATTATACGATAACAAATGGCTTTTTTCGTTTGGGGCAATTTATTTCGTAATTTCACTGCTGTTTTGTAGTACTTTTTAGCTTGATCGTAATTTCCCAATGCGCTATGTGCGTCGCCTGAACACAATAATAATTAACATTATAATATATATACACTAACATCATATAATAAGTATAATTCGAAAATTCGTGAGATTCATATTATTTTATACAGATGATATGAATTATATTATTTCTCTGATAATTTGAATAGAATCGGTTTTATTCAGATTAAATAACGATGCATGTTCGCGAAAAATGTAGTAAACTCTCCCGCGAGTGCTTTTTAGAAATAAATAATATTTATATAATAATCTGTGAATATACAGACCCATTAAAGCTAGGATAATTCCCTTATTCGTGATAGTTTTTTCGACATTGTTATCCGTCCATTCGGATATGTCGACAGCCTCACTTCTGTCAGCGGCAATTGAAAGCAATTTAATAGCATAAAGTGGTTGCGAAGTTTGAATCAGTCCGGCACTGTATTCCACAAAGAAGTCGAGCATTTTATCGATTTCTCCTAAAATAAATCAATATTAATTATTAATATATACAGTACGATTATATTATGTTTCTCATACATATAATACGGAACTGTATATAAAAAAATATTTGATAATAAGCAAGATTATTCAGGAATATCTCGATGTATTAATAATATAGAGAGAAATAATAGTTTTTTTTTATATATTGAAATATTCCTAAGCTACTTATACTTTGCATATAAAAAATCAGTAAAAATTTATAATTTTACCACTGTTCTCAATATGCCGATGCAATTTCCAAAAAGATGACTGATGACACTGTCGCAATAACAATTGCGATAATCGATGTGACCAAACGCTTCCAAATAATGTATAGTAGTAGGATCATCTTTCGTAATTAATGGAGCAATGCTCGTAGGTCGTTTCCAAAATCTTACCGTTTCTTCCGTTATACTTCCTTTAGGTTTTTCTGCGTTTTTCGAAGCTATAATTGCGAGGGAATATACAGTAATAAAATTTTTCGAAAATTCCTCGAAATGACAAATTATTTGACAACCTTTCTCATCTTCGTCATCGAGATACATCGGCATGATAGACACTCTGCGTAGATCGCACTCTTCTTTTTTCATGCTAATCGTTCTTGTGGGAAGTATACTTGGTTTCGCTAATGTTCCTCGTTCGTCTCGATATGCAATCAAGGTTCGATGACGAACCATTGAAATTCTAGGCGACTGTGTTGGGCTTTCCTCCTCCTGAATATAGGAAAATGTTAATCAGATTGAATGTTCTGAATATAAAAAATACACTCTATAAAGGACGAATAAATTAGAAAAAAATTAATTACAGTAATTAATTATGTAAAATCGTAAATTTCCAATTTTTTGCAATGATAAACTGGCTTTCAATTTATTGACTTTATTATATTTTTACTTGTGAACATTTTCTATTGTAAAGTAAACATATTGGCAATACTATAGGTACATTTGGCATAAAAAGAGAAAGTTTTGTGAAGAAAAATTCATTTTCTCCACGCTTTTGAATTTACATATGATTTGCGAGATACAATTTACACTAATTATTATTATTTACGATTGTGATTTGACCTCCGTGATTTTTTCCTTGCTGGGAACTTGTAAAAAATGACCACTGCCACAAGAACTGCATTTTCGTGCGTCTGCATTGAGTATCTTGGTCGCTGTTGCATGAAGCTCTTGTTTTTGTTCGTTCGACTGCATATCATATATTATGCTGCGAAATAAGTCAACTTTGAACTCCAGCATTTTACAGTGCGCATAAAGAGGCGAGGATAAAGCGGAAGTTTCTGGAATAAAAATGCACAAATATTTGTACAAGCAATTAAGAAACAGATAAAAAAATAAGCAAATCAGCACGATTGTGTTGCTCTTAATTCCGTAAACTTTTATTCGAATTTTTCTTATCAAAAATTGTATAAGATGTCATATTATTATTTTTTTAATTAAGAACAAATATTAAATATTTTTAATTGAGCTAACGTGAATGATAACACTGGCAAGACAATAAATGGTGCATATCAGAGAACGTTCTTCGCTTCTTGTCTATACAGAAGATAAGGTCCTCAATATGAAAATCTCGTCGCTGAAGCGAGGCACATTCTAATATCCGCATTCGAATCATCTCGGAAACGGCTATGGAATTGCACGAAATTTATATAAGTTAGAACACATACAGACCATAATAAATAACACTTACCGCTTACAGTATGCGGTGGAATTGAGTTTGGCATTACATTTTGTAGCATGCTTCGTTTAAACACTTTACCCAGCGTAGCAGCGCACGTAATAAAACTCTGTTCGTACGGGTTCATTCTGTAGTAGATCTCGCTCATTAATTCTACACTGAACAAGTGTTTAATGAACAAATTAATGTAAAATTCTCCAAACGATACATTCATAGAATTCACGAGGAAAAATTCCGTATACTTGGAAATAAATCGTTTGTCGCAAACATTGCCTTGAAAAACTAGGAAATTTTGTATGAAGAAAGAGAAGAGAAAAGACTGAAAATAATAAGAAAATTTGCCTCTCATGTTGCGATCTATATCCGTAATTTTGAAATAATTGTCATTCGTGACGCAGACGTCCACCAGGCTCATTTGCGACCAGGGTAAAGGTGGTGCAAGTTCCTCGGGCGTCAAATCAACCGGCAGTTTTGTCACCATAGAGACATCGGTAAAAACGAGATCGCGTCGTGTCGCCTCGCCAGGTGATATCTTAATAAAATCCAAAGCGTTATTCTGAAGTATCAACGTCAGCAATGTCTCGCACCATCCAATATGGCCGTCCTTGCGTCTTCGTAAAACCCTAAGAAGAATATCATTGTTTCAACAAAATGTATGGTTTCAACATTTGTTCTGTCGCGGAGTTATTTCTGAGGTCTTATGCCAGTACCTGTTTAATTTTCTGGGTAATGCTAAGACGTTTAAGAATTGACACGCGAATGTCGGGAGTAGATTCACATCCAGACCGTGCAACGCATGTTTCATGAACCTTTTGTCTTTGTAGATTTCCACTTCCACGTGGGACAAATCCTCCCACGAGTTGGGCTTTAACATCGTCAACGCCATGACAACGTTATCGTTGTTAAGGGCCGATGACAAAAATTGCCAAGACATGTAGTCCATGTTCTGGCTGTCGTCGAGTAAAATGCAGATTTTAAATTCCAACTGTGAGAAATTAATTATTCAAGTTGTGTGAAAACAATTTTCAAATAATAGTCATTTATCTGAGACAAGATAACAACATTACCTGCTTTAATATAATTTCAAAGATACTAATAGTCTTCATGTGACGTTGCCAATCAGAGTCCGAGCAGTAAGTGTCGGAAAGAGGAAAATGAACTCTCATTAAAACGTTGAGATAGCACATATCTTTTAGAGTGAGAACACCACCTAATTTACTAAGTAATATCTTTTCACGCTCCTCGACCGTGTCATAATACTCGGCTTCAAGTATCTGTTCGAAACAAGGATTTATCATGGCAAACATTAGATGTATTAAAGAGAATTAATAGAGCATTTTAATTGAAAATTTAGTTTTCTTAATTTTTTAATTAAACAATTTTTTTCTTATTTCTTATCAATTTTTTAAAAGTATTTATATTGAAAAAATAGAAAATTAAAAATAATAAAAACTTTTCTACAGTGTTTAAAAATTTATTTTTTTATTTTTTTTTATTCCAATGATTAAAAATTCATTTAAATTTTCAGAATAAATTTCTATCAATTTTTCTTAATTTACTTATTTTTGTTAAACATACTTAGGAAAATAAATCGAGCATTCCGTACTTGCAAAATAATATGATGTATAACTGAATAAGCTTTATCCGCGTATGTCATGTGAAGGGATAGTTTAATCGGTTTTATTTGTCTGCTACAAACGCTCGTGACAAAAGCATCTAAAAGTCTTGATTTTCCTGATCTCTCGATACCCTAAATAAACAAACAATCAATTTTAGCAAGACAGATGCAATGGTGAATAATCATTATTGGATTCTTAAGTTTTACTTTCTATCGTCATACGCATAAAGCAATATAATTATATATTTATCTCAATATTATTATAATATCATAATATAAACATAATTATATTTAGAAAAAAATTGGATTTTATATAATTATATATGTTATTACATAAAGTTATAGATCAAAATGATTAATTTTGTAATTGTAATAGTGATGTAATACTAACGTGAATCGTAGTAGCTTTAATTAAGAATTACAAACGCTCACTTGATTTTCGAAGAATTTAAATCGAACCTCAATTAATAATCCCGAATATTTTCGACCTCTTACTCCGATCTCGTCCAAAATATCGTTAAAGCTCTCCAATTCTTGTGCTCGATCCAGAATAGGATAACAATAGTCCAAAGATGCAGTTGCATCCAAATCTTTTTTCATTCTATTTGAACATCAAAGAAAGGAATATGTTTTGTACACTTTGCAATTGACACAGGAGACTTATTTTCTAACTATTATATAGATTTAAATGCTCACGCCATATCGCCGAGATATTCGTAGACGTGAAATTTTTCTATTTGATCAAACAATCTCACGCCTCGAGAGCGAAATTTATATTTCTCCAAATGGCTGTGTATTACAGTATCATAATCACAGGAAATCTGCGAAAACGTAATTCAAATACCACTCAAGAAATGTATTTTTATACATATAATTGTTTTCAACTTCATGAAAGTATATTGAATTGAAAACAATATCACTTTTTGAGAAGAGACAAGAAAGGGATAAATTATTTTACAATTTAAATTATTTCACATAAATTTATTTTACAATATATATATATTTAAATTTAAATATCTTATAACATTAATAGAGTAAGTTCTGTCAATATTACCTTGTCGTAAGAAATATTCATTAATTTCCTAACTTTATCAACGGGCGGTCCGATGATTGCATAATACTTTCTAGCAGTGTGTCCAATCACGCCACAGTAAGCCATTCCTAAAATTAAATTGACAATACAGATATATTATTGTTATATTTGTAAACGCGACTTTCATTATATTGCCATATCGCAATGAAACAACATATGCACAATTGAATCGTAATAATATATTCATTCACCTATTAACTAAGGCTTACTCTTTCACGTTCTAATTCTTTGAAATAAATTCTTCGGATGATTAAACGCGAGATAATTAAATAAATCTATGAAAGGATATATACACTTGTTCTGAAAAAGTTATACCTGTTGAAACACCCACGAATGTGCTTCGAACCCCTATGCTTTTTATTGTTTGTAATGCGTGCATCGCGAAAGTAATTCCCCTTTTGCAAGTTTCGTCGATTTTAAATTGATCATTCTCATCCCATCCGCGAATTCCAAATGCGATACCGAAAAGAATATTTTTTTCGTATAGATTCACCGTGTTAATGCAACCTGCGTATTGCGTAACTATGCTAAATAAACATTAAAATAAGTAAATCTCTTTCTCTCTTATTTTTCCGATAAATATAATATTAATATTGCTAAGGTATTTATATTTTATATATTATTTATTTTGGTTGTCATTTGCAATAAATTTTGATGCATACCTGTGCAAAAGTAAAAAATATTTGTCGACTAAAAGAATTAATTCCTTGTCTGAACATTTTTCGGGAAAAATATCGAGGGATACTATTGTAATTTGTCTGATCTCCGCTATAAGTCTTAAAGATAGACCCTTTTCGATCTACGAAAAATGAAGAATATTTAATAAATAATTCCGAAAAGAGAGCAGACGCAGTATAAAAAACATTTTTCTCTCTTTTATCACAGCCAAGATAGTTTACGTTAAATAGTACCTGCTGGATTACCGGCTTTATCAAATAGCTCTTCAGTAGCATAGCGAAATCCGGATTTAATTTCGCTATCGCAGAAATTGCTGCTGGTGGCATTCAATATAAAATAATGCACATTCCAAACGATCGAATAAGACTCGGAGAAAGCATTTTTAAAAATAAGAAATGAAAAATTTACAATTATTTATTAATTAAAGACTCACGAACTAAAACCATTGACATATATAATATAGAATAGACTAAATATCCATCTGTGAGCGGAACTGTTCGCGTCTTCTAAGGCCTGGTTTACAATAAGTCGTATGTCGGAACGGAAGTGAGGGTTCGATGAGGAAATTTTGTTTTCCAAAGAGAAATTTTCTGATTGGACCATCGTTTCCATTCCGACCCACGACTTATTGTAGATCAGGCCTTAAAGGACAGAACGATAAAAGGTGCTGTCTCCGTTACTCTGTTGGTCTAATAGAGGAAAAAGTCGAAGGGGAGTATTCTCTAGGACCGATATTCATAGTCCGATCTTATATTTAAGATCATCCTAAGAGAGATTGAGACGGCGTGGAGCCATTTGATTGGTTGAACAGAATCTTAAGATCAGACTTAAACCCCTCGATGTTTAGTCTATATATATATATATGTCTATGGCTGAAACTGATAGTTGCATAAAATATGACGGAAAGTGGACATAGAATAAATTAATCATTGTATTATAGCGAAATAGGAAAAGCACAGCTATAATTGAGAGTAAAACATGTGAAGAAAAATAATATAGAAATCAATTTAGGAGATTTTTACTAAATCATTGAAATTTAAGTGAGACAAGTGGTTTCGAAACTTAAACAAGAAACTAAACTATTTGCTTCACCTGTAGAAGTTTTCTCTTTCGTATCAGAGATTACTGTTTCAAAGGGTAAAGGTTCTCCGTTAGCAGATATACGTGCTCTATAAGGTGATGATGGTCTGACAGGACTTGTTATAGATTTTCCTTCCATGGATATTCCATCGGAAATAGTATGAACACTCGACGATATCGGTGTTGTGTATTTAGTGTCTGGTTGCTCTAATACTTTTACTATCTACGATTATTGAAAAATTATCTCTGTACATTGCAAATTGAATGTTAATTGGATTTGATACATTATTTTGCAAGTTAGCAACTTCTGTACTATTTCGTTTTAATTTCATCAATTATTTTATTTCTCATACTTGACAAAATTATTTTCATATATCGAGTAAAGAAAACTTTCATTCTTTCGTTCTAATTTTTAATTAAAAATATTATTAAAAATATCATTATTTATAGATTATAATTGAAATGGACCTTAATATTATATGGGTTTTTGATGACGTATTCGTATTGACTCGGTGTACAGTGCTGCCATGCGCTCAATGATAGTATTAAATCATTTGGTAAGGAAATCTTATTAGCTTCTTTTAGTTCTTCAATTGGCGAACCATAAATCACAAAATGTCGAGCTTCACTGCTACCTATCACTGAGAACGTTACATCTCCAGCCGCAACTGCTACATTTACTATTATTAAAAATTTCATATATTTAAAATTTAATATATTCTCGAGAGAAAGACGAAAACAAAATTTTTTATCAATTTACTAGAATAATTATTCTCATTTGAATAATTTTAATCTAATTTTTATTTATTTAATTTATGTAAAAAATTTTTATTCAATCTCAGTGTAAATTGTAGATGTATTATTTTGGCAAATACCTTTAAAAATTTCCTCGACATCTTTTAAGGTTGCTATAGAGTTTTGTACAAACTGTGCGCATATAATTACCTTTTCTACGACATTAAACATAAACTCATTATCGTGTATTTTCCATGCAGCTAATAATCCTTGAGCTGAATTTTTAATTTGTTATTTCAAAAGAACCGAAGAGCTAAAAGATAAGCTTTATCAGTGAATAAGAGATTATTAATAAGTTTTTAAAAATCTGCATTTCTTTAATTATATGAAGTAATTATATCTTTTTCAATTTGTAATTGTATTTTTATCAACCTGCGATATTATAATTACACAATTAGTAACAGATTCTAAATTGAATATAATCTTTCGTCAATAGAATATTTTTTATTTACACACTTAATACTAAATGATTTAATTGAAAAGCTTTCATTTAAAAATTAATATATAAAAAAGAAAAAATTAAAAAAAAAATAAAAACAACTTTATAAAAGAAATATTAATATCTAAAAAATGCAAAATTAATTCTCTTTATTTTACAATTTTTATTAAAAGATAGCTAATTTTTTTCTTGTTCACTGATATGCATGCCTTATCTCGAACAATATTATTACCAGAAAATTTCAGTATATCTCCCTCGTTGCAATATATTTCGTGAACTACGATATGGACGTAATTATTTAATATTGTAGTTAAGACTGGACTTCCTCCAGTTTTATCATGAGTATACTTCTTAAACAACGTTGAAAAACCTGTCATTACATTAATCGTACATTTTTAAAGAGTGTCAATTAAAAAAATGATTTAAAGAGAAAGAAGGAATTGACTACTTTGTCGTAAAAAAATTTAAAATTTACGAATGCAATACTGTAGAAAGAGCTAACCCGAGATGTTTAGAAACATTAAAACAGCCCGAAAACTTCGACAACTTTTATCTGACAAATCAGTCTCATAAATTATTTCGTCGGGAACAAAAGTTGCCATAAGGTGTATCTGCTCATCTACATTACGCAAATGTAATGCCTAAATTAAAATAAAAATTGTACATATATAAAATATAAAGAGAATATATAAAGCATTATCTACATAGAATATATAAAATTAAAAATTGTGATTGGGGAATGTAGGATCATGCAGATAAAAAATACATGTCGTAGAGGGTCTAACCTGTTTTAATGTCATACTATCTTTTTTAAAAATAGGACCAAACAAATCAGGTGTCCACGCTGTGAGAAGATTTTCTTCAGTTATCGAATTAAATGCCATTACTTATAATATGTCTTAATAATATTATGACATATATATATATATATACATATATAATTGTCGTAATAAAAATATATATTACTTCTTACAAGAAATGAAAAAATATCGATTACAATACAATCGATTGCAATACGGAATATTAATTACTCTATTATGACATGTATTTAATATATATACATATATATAATTGTTAATATTATATATTAATATACATATAATTAATATATATATATAATACATATATATATGTTATATAATATAAATATGACATATATGCGCTAACTTTTTGGTATAATTAACATGTACATATCTGATGCTTAATTTTTCAATAATTTTTATTAAAAACATTTATACAAATTCTAGAATAAAATGCATAATTAATTATATATTTTATATAACAAAAGTATGTATTGTATATATAATAAAGTTTCGGTTTCTAAATTAATCAATTTACTTCTAATTATAATTAATCGATTATTTCTAATGGTAACTTATTCTAATTAATAAACAATAATTTTGACTAGATTGGTCGTTTAATTTAGAAACTAATCCTTTGTGTAATTGCCTAGCAATATTAATATATTTAATTTTTATAATAAAGTTTATTAAGGTATTGTAGAATAATTACAATAATGTTGCATCTCTTTACGACAAAAATTTATGTATTGTTGTATAATGATAAAAATCATGCTTTTTCTAAAATATGGCTAAACAAATTTGGCGTTTTAATTGCGACAATATTTTTATATATTATAACAAAAAGTTATAGTATTATGTAATAGTCGATATATAATAGTCGATATTTCATACTGCAATCGATAATATACATTGTAATCGATATTTTGCCATTTTGTAAATTGTAAAGAGTCTTTTTTAATATAACAATTATATATGTCATAATATTATTAATACATATTATAAGTAATGACATGTATGCAAATAAAGAAAATCTTGTCATAACATGAACGCCAGATCTGTTTAGCCTTATTTAAAGAATAGTATAATTTTATATGTTTACTTACGTGTTAATTATGATAATTTAAAATATATAACAGATTATGCATTTTAAAGTAGAAGTCTAAATACTCTTTTAAAGAATTTATGTATCCATTTTTTGTTTGTTTTAATCGTCGATATTATTAGAAAAAAATAAAAAGAGAGTTTTATATTACGCAAGAAAACAAAAATAAAGAATAATTTTAGAAAGTAATGTAATGTATAAAATCATAAAAAATAAACCTAATATTATTCAATTGATACATTATTATACCCTGTTTTAAAAACTTATATTGAGTATATTTGTATAAACCTTTTTGGAAAAATTATCAAAAAAATTAATGTATCGGATTTTGTCCACATAGTTCTATTACATAATGCAAAAAATAAATAAAAATAATTTTTATTTCATAAGACTAGTAAGTACAAAAATATATCAAAAAGTCATATAATTTCGAAGAATGTTAAATTGAACGCAATCATAAACTGAATACTGAAAAAATTAAATTATAAAATAATAGTTATATGTTATTTGCAAAAAAAAAAAAAAAAATTTATATGAGGATTTAACCTTTTTTTTCTCGTTCAATTTGATTATTTGTCCAGATTGTTATAACTATTATTTTGCTTGTAATTTTTCCATAAATACAAAAATATTCTGTTGCGATTGTTATTTATTATAAAAATATAATTAATATTGAAAATTCACGCAATAATAGTGATTTCAATACCTATTCGTCATGCTGTCTTATAGTTTGTGATATTAAAATATGTTTGTAAAATGTATAAATCGTATAACGCGTATTTATTTTTTCTATTGCTATTACTAAGGTGCTAACTAAAATTGTTATAATATTTATAACAGTTTTGACGTTTCACCATACTTTTTCTTCTTATAATAAGAGAAGAAGTAGTAATAGAATAAATAATATTATAATGTTTATTAATCTCTTGTATTGTAACGTTTTATGACGTCATTTTGACGTCAATGACGTCATTTTAACGTCAGCTTGTTACCTGGATTATTAATCTAGCAGGCTAAGAAGCGTGACTCTTAATACTAAAGTAAATATTTTATTAATAACTTATAATTTAAGATCTCTTTCACTTGTACTCCCAGCAAACACAAAGTAACAATTACATAACATCAATGTTACAATTTCCCACTCAACAATATAACTGCAATATAACATGGCTTGTACGTAATAGTTATATTATTGAGTGAGAAATTGTAACATTGATGTTATGTAATTGTTACTTTGTGTTTGCTGGACTAGTAATATTTTAATGTTTTGCAGAAATAAAATGCTCATTAAAAGTTACGCCGTTGGCGCATTTTTCTCCGCACGCATTGCACGTAAAGGGATCATCAATCTTGTGAAAGTGCATATGCATAGCATGTATCAGCTGGTCTGCGAACTTCATGTTGCAGTGTTTGCAATAGTATAAATTTTCGTTATCTGTAATTAAATTAAACTTACTTTCTCTTGGCAAAATGCATTGAATGTCCTTCAGAGATTCGAAAGATTCAGTTTTATTCCATTCCGTGTTCGTTTCTACTTTCAAACGCGTCTGTGTTTTACACTTACGTTTAGTGGCGCCTGTAAGCTTGAATATATTCATTGGTTTATTTAGAATAATATTTTGCGGCTGAGACTCTTCCTTGAATGTCGGAATTTCGTTTGAAATTGTATCGCAAGCATCGGCTTTATTGTTAGTTAAATAGAAATTTTTGCTAGTTGCAGCCATCGTGTCATCTAATCTTTCGAATTCAATCTTCCGTTCCTTGGATGTTAAGATTTGGTCAACATCCTTCTTGTCATCGGCAGGATCAACTTCACTGTTAGTTATTTCGAAATTAATATTGTCTTTTGTGGGGATATACTGTGTTTTTAACTGATACTCCGATTCGTATATCGATGATCCGTTGATTGTGTTGATATTGTTAGCATTCTCGTTGCTAGCATCAGCTTCGTTATTCCTACTTGTTTCGGCAGGATCAACTTCACTGTTAGCTATTTCGAAATTAATATTGTCTTTTGTGGGGATATACTGTGTTTTTAACTGATACTCCGATTCGTATATCGATGATCCGTTGATTGTGTTGATATTGTTAGCATTCTCGTTGCTAGCACCAGTTTCGTTATTCCTACTTGTTTCGGAATTATCATGAGCCATATTATATATTTTGCTTAAATTTTTTATGTCTTCATCTACTATTGCTTTCATAACATACAAACTGTTGAAATGATTCATGTGCGCTCCGGTATAATAGACTGACACGTCTTTTTTGTACAAATTGCAAAGCGTGTTGTTCAGGAAGTACCAAGTTATTATATTCTCCTTTTCATCGCTGTTCTTCCAAAGGGCGATCGCTCGTGATATTACTTCACTCAGCTTGTACAAAAATGAATATACTAAGTTCTCGTCCTTATTATTTTTGATGTTACTATCCGTCTCAACTGTTTGTGACTGTTGCTGAGGTTGAGGCTCAGAATGAGAGACTAGTTCTGGACATTCTGGAAAAGGTGCTGGTGAGCTTGATTGGTTGAGATCGATTTGATCCGGTTTATCCTGGAATTTAATGGGGATCTTCCGTCTGGGTCCGCGTTTATTACTGTATATATCGATAATCTTGTGATTCCGCGTGCCGTCCTCGTTCAATATCATCACGCGACTATGTTGTTTCTCTCTCATATGTTTCTTCATCGCGTGGAGTAGTCTGGCCTTAAAGCTACACTCCTCGCAATTGAACTGATAATAGTTCCAATGACGTACCACGTGACTGTTCAACATCGACTTGGCCACGCAAGTATACGAGCAGTCAGGTTCCTCACATTTGAACGGTCTGATGTTAGTGTGATCGCCCAGCCAGTGATAAACCATATGATGTTTCGGCTCGGTAACGAATGGGCAAAGAGGACAGACGAGAGGGTACTTGTGATTTTCACGCATGTGCTGCCAAAGTTTCTTTTTTGCCTCCATTATATCCAATTTCTCGATCGTTACGAAGTTGCAGTTACGAAACTTGCAACGTTTAGGCTTGAGGGTTTTTCGTCGTTTCCCTTTCTTACTTGACATTTCTGTGAGACAATCATCGTCGTAAAGAGAGTCGGTATTCTCCATTTCGATCTGCATCAGATCAGTGTCGAAATCTGAATCGTCCGTTCTTTTACAATGCTCGATTATATGATGATAATATTGAAACCTAAAAAAAAAAAATTGTTTCAATATGTCTTTAAAAAATGTAATTTGTCTTCGAGTTTTATTAAATAAAAGCAAATAAAATAAATTGTCGATAACAAGCTAATAATAAACTGTATCTTGAGTTAATATTTTTTTTCCACAATGTACTTCTTTACGTGATTAATCTCATTTTTCAATATATTCATAATTGAAAGATTAATTATACTCACAATGTTAAAGCATTAAAATCGCACAATTCACATTTCACAGGATTTGTGAACATGTGATCAACGTCTCCTCGCTTCCGAAAATCTGAAAGTATTTGAAACTTTTCGGAGTCGCTCGATTGTATTGATTTAATTGTAAACGATCGTCCAGAGCAACTTGGAAGCGATTCTTTCTGTTTATCTAGAAATTCGACGCTCTGGGGTGAACAATCAATACCAGAATCATTATTTCTAGACTTGTCCTGTAAAGCATATAAAAAAAAGTTTACAAGAGATTTTTTTATTAAAAGATAAGAAAATCGAAGTATAATCGAAGAATTTTGAGTAAAGTCAAATAATTCAATTATCAAGGAACAAACATATAGTTCATATTATATTATACAGAATATATACTCTTTTTCTCTCTCTCTAATAATTATCGTGAAAAATTAATTTATTTTTCTGTATACTTAAATGGCAACTAGTTTTTTTATGCTCTAGTTTTAAACTTTTGAAAGTTTAACATCTTAAAAGTATTGAGCCATAAAATGATAAAGTTAAAAGTATATAGTGTTACATTGAATTTACAGTATTGAATTTAAAGTAAAATATATTCATTTGTAAGTGGGCCTACTTATATGTTCTAAAGAACATATTGCACTGTAATTCTTATTTGTCATTTAATTTTAAAAATTGCATTTTTGTTTGTATATAATAATATAATATATATCCAGCAAAGTAAAAATAAATAAAAAAGAAAACAGGAAACATGAAGTAGATACGTAAAGATGGAATATGTTTCGTCATTCCGAAAACTCAATACCACCTCCATTGTATTCATTTTGCCGACATTTTGTTGTCAGTAAAATGGGAAGGGTCTAGAGAATGAGAAGGGTACAGTTGCAATGGGGATGCGGAGATTTAGAGAGAGGGAAAGAGAGAGATAAAGTATAATCGAAGAGGGGTTGCACAGGGATTACTCACCATGAATCTATCTAAATCTAACCAAGTTGTAAATGGCAGCCTATGTTGCTGGAACTTCTTCGGTTTATTCATTTCAGCCATTTTTTTCTTATTATTACTTTCAAAGTAAATAAAATCTAAAATAAAATTATTCTAATGATTATTATGCACAAAGAACAGGAAAATTTAATTAAGAGATTCTATTTTTCATAATTAACGTAATTATTATTTATGAAAACAATGACTAACACATAAATATATAATACAAATTAATATTAATTATAGATAAAATTTAAATCATAAAAACATGATTGTCTACTGTTCATATATTCTTATTCTTTTTTTCATTCTAATAATTTCTCTCAAATAACTTTTCTCTTCGACTTTTTAATCAAATATAACTTAATAAATATAATTCAAAGGTAAATTATTGTTAAATTGTTTAATGATTATTCAAGTATATTTATAAGAATATATTATTCAGATAGGAAACGAGCTAATAACAACCAAACGCAGAAATTAGGTGCAACAAACTTGTTTTAAAAATCTTCTCTGTTTCTCTATTTTTTGAATTTGTATTTGTTATCAGAGTTTTATTACATAATTAATTTTACTATATTTATTATTATATAATGTTAATATTAGAGCCTTTGGTATAATTGAAATAATTTTACTTTATTAAGAAAGAACATATTTTATGTTATAAATTTAAATTGCTTCACGGTTTTATCAATTTTTTATATTTACATACTTTGTTTTGCATATATTTGTATTTCTAAACATGTCAAAGAGATTTACGACTCTTCTTTTAAAAATATATATTGTTCATTGATTTAAATTGATTTATTGAATTTAAGTTGCACGTTTAAGCGGTAAATATGTTTTTAATATTCACGAATCTTCCCTGCTGTTACTTTCTCCGAAGCTCTTTAGAGTAAGTGTTCAGGGTTAATTGCTCTATTGAAAGTTATAAAATTTGACAAATTTTTCGCAATGACTTTTAAGAAAACAAATTTTGCATGTGTTTGTGTCGACGAGGGGAAAGCGAAAGAACTTGAGAATGACAAATACATGTATGTAAATGAATTCAACAAACATTATAAATGGTCTCTTTTAAAGAAAGTCATGAATCAATGTTCCCGAATTCGATGATAAAATTAATAATTATATTTTATATTATCGCGTAAAATAAGATGATAAATACACTTACATATGTGATTATTCTTTAAATATAGAATTTTTTTTCATTATTTTTGTAAAAAAATTTGAACTTTATAATTATTGATATTATCGCGGATCGTAACAGCGATTCTCCCTCTAAAAAAATCTGGAAAAATTTTATAGATAAAGAAACTTTTATATCTATAGTATAAAAAATGATTAACAAAAATATCAAAACATTTAGATTTTTTGTACGTTGTTTTATATATATATTGCACATTTTTTTGTAAAATGAGCTTTTTTTTACAAAAAAGCTATGAAGATTTGATACTGAATTATTTTGTAAAAAGGTTAAATCTATAAAATGCCTACAACATACATTTAATAAATACACAAAGATATTGATGCGGCTTAAAATTATATCTCCCCGTATATATATATATATATATATATATATATATATATATATATATAATCGCTATTTCTTCTTTTTTATAAAATGATAGTAATTTAATTAACCAACTCTGGCTAAATAAGTGATCTTTATTTAATATTCACGACGTTTCGGCCCTTATCAAGTGCTATAATAATGACAATTATTAGAAAATTAAAAATTAAAAAATTAAAAAGAAACAATGTAACTATAATAAAACGATAAATATTTCAACACATTAATATGTAAACTTACCTAAAACACAACTTTTTTAAAAAACCTTAATTTTTGATCTTAGAATGTGACAAGATATAATACAATGATAATGTAAAACAATTAACTATATTATTGTGTCGGTTTCAAGCTCTTTATATACTCATTACTTTGATCAAACTAAACGACCTTTATTAGTTTTTCGTAAACAATATTTAGATTATCCGTGTCTTTTTGTAAATTGATTGTTGGTTGATTAAATTACTATCATTTTTTAATTATCATCTGATGATTTTACAGTTTTGTACATCTTTTTTATGTATATATATATATATATATATATATTCTAAAATAATTTATACAGACATTGAATTTTGATTGTTTTAAACGTCAATAAACTTCTGACATGAGAATGAACAGTTTAATTGAGAAAGCCAGCACGTGTAAAATAATGAAATTAAATTGTATGCGTACTTATGAAACAAAATATTATTTCTTGTGATGTTTCCTACAATTATTTCCACGATGTTCAAATACAAAAAAATTTGCAATAATATTTATAACTATTATAATAATGAATTAAAATGTGCTTGAAAATCGATAATGTGATTCCGCGGCTAATTAAAATACTTTAATCGGTAAATGTTATATCTTTCTCAACAAATATATTTTTGTCCATTTATATGAAAAAGAAGAAAATATTTAGTTCTCATTAAAAATAAATACTTTAAATATGATTTATGAAGACCAATGAATTACTGATAGTAAATCGACGAACGTTTTCCTTGAAAAACTCAATAAAATCGATAAATGATTTCTGATTAAAATTTCAAATGAACAAAGCTTTCCTTCAAAGGTCAAAACGACAATGGTATTTTCAAATTCCAAACAAGTCATATACTTCTCAAGATCATAACAATAAATAGAAAAACATATGACAAAGCGATCATATATATATACCTATATATATATATATATATATATATATATATATATATATGAAATAATAATAATAATAATAATATATATATATATATATGTATGAAATAATAATTACGTTAATAATAATAATTACAAAATATATATTTCATATATATATATATATATATATATATATATGAAATTAGAGATAAGGCAGACGTAGATGGGGAAAAATCGCTGAGCAATATTAATATGTAGTGTGAATAAAAAATTAATAAATTTATAATATATTAAATATATTGAAGATTTCGAGCAAGGAAGGGAAATTATAATTAGATAATTTTAATTGTTTTAAAAAGAAAAGAAAGCTTTTCGCGTCAAAAACGATAATAAAACAGAGCATACTTTAATATTAAATATTCATAACAGCATCAAGACATTTCAGTCTAAATTTATCGTGATTTACATTTTTAAATCTCTTTTATAAAAATAATAAGATTTTTACAAGGGGTAAGAATTGCGTGGGTAAATTTTTGTTTACTTCTTGATAAATTTTACATGACAGATAACATATTTTCGTCTCTTTCAGATAAATTCTAAAAAAAAGCTCAGGAGATTCATAATTGGCGATAAAAATGCGTATTACATTTGTAATTTTACGTATTATCTAATATAGGAAACATTAAAAAAAAATAGTATATACACGCATCATACATATATCTCAAAATTTTTGGTCGCTATTTATAAGTAATTTAAAGGAAAACTTTAATCAAGATTAAATAATATCACAATTATTTTGTACCTTATTTTACTGCCACCTGATCACGTTTACCAATAATGAACTTTGTTGTTGTCAGCACTTTTTCTGTCAGGAGTATACCTTTTCTTCTTTCCTAATGAAGATTTTATGGATTGCACACACACACACTCACATATTAATTAATAAAACTCATGACACTACGTAACAGAATAGCTATTGTTTATTGAAGTCGTTTTTCTTTATACTATCTCGCGAATGTAGAAAGATCAGATAATTGCTAATACTTCCTAAACAAACGCAGATAAAATTGACGCTATTATTTATTATTTTAATTATATAGGGATTGTGATCGAATGTCGGTATCGAGAAATCGTTTTTCTACAAATTTCTCTGTAACAGCCCGACGATTCGGACGTTCAAAATCCTACTAAGAACGAAATCGTAGTTGATCACATGGATGTAGCTCTGTTGAAGGGGCAACTATTCTCTCCCTCCCCAATTTTAGCCAATCAGAATACGAATCTTCCCCGAAGTGTCGTTCAAGTGTATGAACAGCCTGCTTTTTAGCTCAGTCTAATAATTTTGTCCGCATGAAACGTTCACATTTTTTAAAATAACTGTTATTTACTTCCACAGTTTAACAATCCGCTATATTTTAGCCTTTCTCGGGGTTACTGTTATTCGCCTGTTAAGTTGATCGTGTTACAGTTTTTGTGACGTGAAAACTTGTGTCCCTCTTACTTTTCGATTTTTTTTAATTTTCTTGTACTGTGACAAAAGTATTAGATAAAAAAAATATTTTATTATATAGTAAATAAAATTGATGAGACAATATTAAAAATATTTATATTAAAAATTAGATAAACTAAAGAGTTCAGTATAATTAAATTAAATATCATTATCTATTATTAGAGTTCTTAAAACATCATACTAATTTCTAGTGAAATCAAAATATCATACGAAAAAACTTCAGGTAACTAATTTTAATTTATTTTGAAAATTAATCTATTATTTTTCAAAATTTCGGAAAATTATCTTTTTATAAATATTTGTAACACAATGATTGAAAACAAATATTTATTTTCATAGAAAAAGTTGTTAGCAGAGGCCTAAGAATTTACTTTATATCTTCTTATAAGAGAAAACACTAACATTATGCCGAGTCTCTTTTAAAGAAAGCGGTGATTCGCGTTTTACACGTTAATTGGACATTCCTGAGGCGATTTGGAGACGATTTTTCCTCAGCAAAAATGATGAGAAAGGTTATTATTTTTTGAATGTTCCCAATTTTTAAAAACATGTGTTTATGTAACTAACCGTTAAATTAAAATTCTATTACAGTAAACTTTACCTAAAATTAACTAAAAAATGTAGTTTTGTTAATAATTTATTTTTACAAGGCTTAGTTTACAAAAAAGTTTGTATTTTCAATCATTTATAACTTAAAAATTATTGGTGCCTGGACATTTTCGGATGAGGAAAACTCGTCTCTGAATCACCTCAGAAATCTCTCATTAACGTGTTAAACGTGAGTCACTGGACACCCTGTATTTGCAAAGAAAACTTCTCTTTATCATTGTTTAATTATAATTTTTCCATGAAAAAGATTCATATTCAATTAAGACGCATATATTGAAAAAATTGAAAGAATGCCTTTCGCGCACTAGAAAAAAAGTCAAAATAATTTACTCTTATTTTCCATTTCAATCTCAACATGGATATTCAAATAGTTTAATATTTGAAATTCTACACATTTCTAATGCTCCATTATTCACAGATTCTGTTTTTAGCATAAAATACCGTCTGTTTTTTGTCTACCGTAGACAGCACCCTTTCCCAAACACTGGAAAGAAAGAAGAGACTAAAGAGAAACGTCTATTAAAGTGAAATTTTAAAATAGGAACTTCCAAGATTGAAATACTCTAATTTATGCACGTGCATATGAGCGCGAGACTGAAAGATATATTATTAGATAAACGATTTCCGCGCGCGCTCTTTATGAAAAATAACACTTTCTTTATTTTCATCTATTTGCACCGCGAATCATCTTGCGAAATCAAATTAATATCTTATACTGGGAAAAGGAAGTCTAACTTGACTAAATGCGTTTATATATTTTTCAGCCAAGTTATTTTAAAAATTTGTACATTTAGAATAATAAAAATTATTAATTTGCTTTTAATTGGGGATGTTGTTTGAAATATTTAAGTGTTTAAATCGAAATATCTTATTTAAATCAAAATTATATGTTGTAATTAAATATTTCAACCAAAAAAAGATTACTAACTAAATACTTTAGTCAAATTAACAATTTTTATTTCTCAGTGTACAAGTTTCAAAAATAACTTAACCAAAAAATAGATAGAGTATCTAAATATAAGTTTCAAATTATTTTAACTACATTCTACAATTTGACAAATTCTGTTATATCTGTAATATTATACGGGACATCGTTACGGTGCTACATTAAAAAAAAGCCTACTAAAAAATAAATCGATGTGTAACATGCAAAATCGTAAAAAGATCGGTAATAAATATTTCTCAAACTCTCTTTCTCCGCAAGTAGAGAAAAACGTTCGCCCGTTATCCTTTCAATCTTTTAATTTTTTTAAATCCTTTTTGTCGAGTGAACGGGACATTCATTAAATTTACAATACATTTACAGGTCAATTAAAATACTTGCACGATTTTTTTTTAATTTTCTACAGTTTTTTAAGGGAGTAAGAAAATCAGAATATATTTTAAACCCTTTTTTCATGCGGCACTAAAGGATTATTGTCGACTATCAATTATGTCAAACATTTTTTCCCCTAAAACTATCATTAAATACAAAAAAGTTTTTTATGTTTTATGTAAAGGATTTATTGTTAACACTGGCGACAATCAAATACTATTTTATGAATACTTCAAAAAATTTACTCCAAAAACTCTAAAACAGATACAAAACATTTACATAGTCTAAAAAGCTTGTCTCATCTGTTTCTTTCTTTCGTTATCGCGTTTTATATTATTAATTTAATTTATTGAAAATTAATATAGGATTTTGTAATGAAAGTCAAATATCTTTTTTTAAAAGGGAGTAATAAAAAAATTAATTTAAATGCGAATACTTTTATCAAAATATTAAAAATTTTTGATTTAATATTAAAATTTCAAAAAAGTCCACAAATTTTTTTTTGCGATTTGACTTGCGTACACTTTTCTTTTTATATCACTATAAAATCGTTTATTAATAAAATAAATATCTGTTTTGCTTTATTTTATAATTATAAATAAGAATTTAAACAATACAATTTCAATATTTATTTATTTTCATATTTTAATACTTTCTAATTCGTTCTTTGACTTTATTAATTTTATTCCTTTTCTTTATTTTCTCTCTCTTTTTCTCTTTCTTTTTGCTTAAGTGTGTTAAGACTGATTAATTTCAAGATAGTAAATTAGAATATAATGAGAAACATTAATATGTATGCATTGAACAACTTTTCTAATAATTTATATCGTGCAAGTATTTTAATTGAACTATATTTTAATTTTTGTACAATAGTTATCACTACAAGCTGTAATTTTTTTCAAAAGTGGCTATAATTTTATCTACTAAATTTTATACATATGATATTATTTTTATATACAATATTATTATATATATATATATATATATATATATATATTATATATATGTGATAATTTCATAGAAGTCCTGAAAAAAATATTTTATTTTATGTTTTGATAGTAATTTTAATTTGCCTAAGCTCCTGAGATTATTTAAATAAAATTTAATATATTATAAAATTATAACATTTACTAATTAAACTTTTAATTTAACGGAAGAGTGTGAGAATGAGAGCACAAGAGAAAGAAACTTATTAATAAAATTTTAATATATATTTATGTATATACGAATCTCGCTAGATCTAGGTGCCGTCGGGGGCCAAGTTATGGAACCACTCACTACCCATCTACTACTACTATGTATATACGAGCATAATGTAAGCGAATAAAATGTACTTATGTATGTTCGTAAACATATTATTTGATATGTTGTATTTCATTTAAAATGAAAAATGTCAAGCATAAATCCATGTCAGAATGTGATCGTAAACAAATTCTCTTAGATTTTTTTCGGTTTATAAAAGAAATAGGAATGATAACAAACAATAAGCATATTTTAGATAGAAGATCAACAGTAAAATATTTGCTAATCTAACATAATTTAAAATTTAAAATTTTGAAAATGTAGAATGAATGGAAAAAAGAACACTGTTTATAGTATTCACAGTTTCCGTAAACAATCTGTGACAAACAATGATTATAGACATCGTTTGTAGTCATTATGTGTGTATACGGTTAAATTGGAAAATTTTTAGGTAAATTTGACGGTCAATATTCGTCAAAGAACTTTGTGTAATAAAAAAGTAATAACAATCAACGAAGACCGATGTAATGATCTCGGTCAAAAATGTTTCTTCATAAAGTAGACAGCTATCTTAAGTATTGGTGCCGATCACGTGACAGCGAACAATAGCCGCCTCCCCCTTTTAAGATAAATCTAAATAAATTAAAATTTATGTACATACATAGATATAATTTTGTTGGATTGGACAAGCAAGAAAAATCTTTTTATAGAGTCAATAATCAACATTTTTTAACTTAATCATATACATTTATTTAAATAAATCTCTATTTAAATAGATACAAAATAAGAAACAACGAAAAAAGTTATATATACAGGGTTTGTCCGGAAAGTAATGCGTCGCATTTTTTTGTGACGCGACTATACATCGCAGAGCGATGGGACCGGTTGGGGAGGAAGGGGGGTACCCTTAGCTTTCCAACGGTAGGTCGCTCAATTGTTTCCATGCGCTTGGAGGGTTAGGACGGCTTATTCTGTGAACCTCTGCTTAGTGGTCGCGTCGAACTTGTGATGGAGAGAACGATAGAGCAACGCTATGCGATAAAGTTTTGCGTGAAGCTGGACAAGACGCCGCTGGAAACTTTTGAAATGCTCAAGAAAGTTTGGCCCCGGCGGACTTTTTTTTATTTCCTCGGCTGAAAAGGGAGCTCAAAGGACAACAGCTCGAGTCGGTTGACAACGTACAAGCTACTTCGACGGCCTCCCTGAACAGCATCCCAGTCAAGGAGTTCCAGAAATCTTATGACGCATGGAAATCGCGTTGGCAAAAATGTATTGACGCAGAAGGGTCATACTTCGAACAATTTTATTTGATCTAATAAATTTCAGATTGATAATTTAATTAAAAAATCGAAATTTATCCATTGTAAGAGAGCTAAGTGTTATTAAATATTTTCCAATTTTGATCAGATACATATAAAAAGAATATATTAAAATGCATTTGACAAAGCATAGAATAAAATTTCTTTGCAATTTATACAAGCGTAAAAAAGTAAAATTA